AGTGGTATGTCTGTGGACTTACAACGCTAGAATCCGGGATTCGATACCCTTGGTGGGCATAGCACAGATAGTCCATTGTGTAGATTTGTGCTTAACTTCAAAACAAACAAACAAGACTGCAAGTGAGAGATACGTTCTCAAAAAAAAGAAAGTTAGAATGTCGAGTTATTTAATAGAGTAACCACTGAAAGGGAGTTGTGATTCTTTCTTTCCAAGCTACCTGGGGAAAAACAAAAATGTAGAATTCTTACATGCATATGTGTTTCGTATATACATTAGTACATATATTGAAATTTCTGTGGCATGTATCTGTATGGTTTATAAGCATATTTATCCGTGTATTGAAATTCACTAGGTTTAAAACTTAGAACAGCTTGTGTTAATAGATGTAATGCCTAGAACACCAACAGTCTGTACAACTGGATATGATTGCTAGGAATTTAAAAACATGTAAAATCTGAAAGGGTTTTGTGATCCTTGCTTTTCAAGCTATTGGGTTGATTACAGAATATAATTAAGATATTTTGTGTAATCCATTTAATTCTGATTTACACAAACTCTCGATTGTGGAAACTACCTGTTGGGGAACATAGAGGTCGTTAGTTACTCTAGGTCGTCCCTACTGCATAAGTAACTGACCATAAAATATTTAGGTATTTGGTTGAAGAAAAACAAAAGTTTCTGAACATCCCGGCTTGTCTTTTAGACCTCAACATTTTCTGGGGCTTAACATAACATAACGTTTTGGGACAACATGCAACCTATTGGTCCATTTTGGCTGTTCCATCCTCTAAATTAACTTAAAATAAACAAATTTAAAAAATTCTCAAATCAAGCCTTTACCATTCATATTCTTATCAAGATTTTACTTAAACTCACTTAAATTTACTGCATCCACACCATCCGAAGGCAACCCATTCCAAAGGCCAACCGCCCTATTAGAAAAATAGCTGAAGATGACTCCTACCTGCCAAAATTTATATTTGTGTCCCTAGTCCTACTATTCTCCCTATTTAATATGAAAAAATATGACGCATCAACACTATCGATTCCCTTTACAATTTTAAACACCCCAATCACACCCCTCTGACTCTTTTTT